CAAAGTTTAATATATTAAATTTTGCTTTGGAGTCTTTTAACGATGACAGAGGTTCTCTAGAGGTCTACACCTGAAGATTATTAAAGATTTTTGCTAAAAAATTTTCTGATGTTTTTCATATCTTATTTATTAAAATCAGAACCACCATTAAAAGGGTAATTGAAGCCTAAAGAGGTAGCAAAATTTTCCTGTATAAAAATAACAACTGGCAAAATGTAATAATTAAGCTACAATAAGAAAGTTTGGAACAATGAAAACATCAATAAGAATGATTATAATAAACCGGAGTGAAGTGATTCTGATGATTTGAATAAAGAAGATAAAAGGAATAAAGAGAAGTCAAATTGGATAGTGTATTTGGCTCAGACTGAAAAATTTTCCAATAATGTTAAAGCCAAGGAAACTTCAGATCAAGTAGTCTGTGTAGTATCAACTGGAGTGAAGTAATTCTGATGATTTGAATGAAAAAGGTAAGATAAACAAAGAGAAGTTAAATTGGATAGCATATTTGGCTCAGACTGAGGAATTTTCTGATGATATTAAAACCAGGGAAATTTTAAATCAAGTGGTTTGTATGATATCAACCAAGTGAAGTAATTTTGATGATTAGAATAAAGAAGATGAGAGGAACAAAAGAGAAGTTAAATCAAATAGCATTCTTTGACACAGACTGAGAGATTTTCCGATGATGTTAAAGCTAGGGAAACTTTAAATCAACTGGTTCATATAGTATCAATTGAAAATGGCAAGGACAGAAATGATCAAACCAGTTGGTATACGTGGTGACAACTGAGAATTCATCCAATAATGTTAAAGTTCTACATAAGCAAATCCCAAGTTTGTTGAGTTGTCTAAGCATGCTTTAAGCATATTTTCAGATTTGTCAAGCTAATTGTAGTTAGCAGTGTGCTATCTTCCCTTCAGTCATATTATGTAATTTTATAATAGCTCATTTTTGAGATCCGCTTTTCTCAATAGTCTTTAGAATCTATATATACTTCCAATTTTTCACTGTCTTTTTTCAAAGCAGTAAGTTCTATACACCACTAGTCTCTTTATTCTTCAATAAAGAATTATTAACTCAAGATATTTCAAGTTTCAAATATCCTAGAGAGACATAGATTGAACCATTGTATTTCTAGAGTGTTGCTTCTTCCATTGGCTTGTTTGTGTCACTTGTTTCACTCACTTCGCCAATAGTATTGTTACACAAAGTATATGTCAACAATTAGAGAACTTAGTAAACTTTGGTTTTTCTTATAGCCAGATAAGAGTTCTTTTAAAATCATAATCTTTATTATTATAGATTTTATTGTTTATTTGACTTAGTTTCAACTCTAGTTATTTTATCATTGTATATATTTTTTTTTATTGTTTACTTTTTTATATTTTATTTTTAAATTTATAAAAAAATTTTATAAAATTTTTTAAATAGATAGATATAGTATACTGTTCAAATGTAACTAATATATATCTCTTAAATATATTTTTTATAAATGTACTTATTATATTAAATATATGGTTAAGCTTAATCCCAAGTATATAGAACTCTTAATTATTTCTATAAATATCTTCTATAAATATACAGTCAACACTATTAAACTAAAGATATCTATTCCACCTTTTTTCTTCAAATTAGCAGGATCTTCAGATACAGTAAGTGGGAGTCATATGATTTTTACAATCTTATTTGTATTTGGGGTAAAAATAATCTATTTAAGAATTAAAGATGGGTCCCTAAACAGGTGATGACTATTTGTCACCTGTTTCAATTATTAAATTTTTATAACCTAAATTGATCTACATATAACCT